ATTAATATTCTTGTGCAATGACACCGTTATATATATATATATATATATATATATTTGATTCTCTTTCATTAACGTCAAAAGGGTCTACTTACTCAGTCTAATGATAACACTTTTAACACTTTTCATTATCCATATTTGGGTTTAGAGATCACAAATTAATGATAAGGAGAATGTGTGACACTTGGGGAGAGAGAGAGAGGGAGAGAGAGAGAGAGAGAGAGAGAGAGAGGAAAATGGAAGAGATTTGCAGAGATTGAATAAATTGGAGAGACAGAGAGGTAGGTTTTGTAATTAAAGAGGGCCTGAATTATGATTGATGATATCGGTTCTGTGTACACTGCGTTGCCTCACTGGCATTTCGAAAGAACTAGATCGGTATTATACTCCACGTACATGCATGCATGCACATGCATACGTACGCATACACACACGATACATACATATATACATACACATATTATATATATATCCCTTTGTATTTTTTTTGTCCTCCTCCACAAACATTACTATAGGTTTGAAGTCGTGAAAATTACAGCTCATATTTACTCTGGGGGTGGCCCTACTAAGGGTGAGAAAAAAACCCAAATTTCGGGTACCCAACCGGATCTATGGGTCGGATATCTGAAAATTTTCGGGTATCAGAGAGAACGAGACACAAGATCAGGTATTAATATTAGAATACCCGAATTTTTTGGATCGGATTCGGATAATTGATATTATCTCACGGGTATCCGGATAATAAAAAATTATCCTTTAAATTTTAATTTTTTTTATTAGATTTTGTGTTATTTTATTTGATATTAATAATTATATATATATATATTATTGGATATATTTATGATGTATTTTTTAAAAAATAAATGTATTTTGAATATAATTACAATTTAAATTGATTTTGAATATGTATATTTAAGTATATTTTAAAAAATTAATTGAAAATAATTACAAATATTCGAATTCGGTATTCGCGGATACCCGATAATTATCTCACGGATTTTTAAGTTCAGATACCCGATTTCACGGGTACGAATTCGGTTAATAAAATACCGAGACATTCGAGTTCAGATTCGGATACCCTCAAATTTACGGATACCCGATCAGTACCCACTCCTAGGATTACTAACTTAATACATGGAGATGGTACTTTAATTATCTTTTTCAACTATATATTTTTTTAAATCATGTTTTACTTTTTAAATTCTGGATCGCTACATGGATGTTCGCGTTAAAGTTAACGTCAGTTTCTTTTTCTTTACTGTGTGTAATTTACAGAATCTGTGTAAGAAAAAATAATTATATATGGAATTGGTGCAACGTCTATTGTGATTGTTATTAGTGCAAAATATTATAATTATAAATAATTTAATTGTGAATATAATTAAGAAAACATGCATCTGACTTTGTCGGTTGGGATATCAATTCAAACCGTTGACATTGGAGAGATACCTTCTGCTGCTACCGATACTCGGTTTCTGCATGATTGCTTTCATAATCCTCACACACACAAATACGTTATACGTGTCTGTATATATATGTGCACGTATATATGTGTGTGTATATACACATGTATAAAGATATTTATGTGCTTGTGTATATAAAGATTCCTATTCGTATAGACAGATCATATACAACAACAATATTGTCGATGATGATGATGATGGTGACCCTCATCATCATCATCATAGTGCTATATATTGATGTTGCCATCATCGTCGTCATCTCCGTGTGTGTATGTATATATATATATATATAGCATATTGTATTTATATCTTAATTGTATTATGTGCAAGTGATTATGTACAACATATATAGCCGACTACTTACAAAAAAAAAAAACATATATAACCGACTACGTAGAGATTCGTAAAGGTGGCATGGCATCATGCATGCCATGCCGTGGAAAAGACATCAAATGTCTGAATTGTTTTGAAAGAAATATTAAGTGTTTAAAACTGCATCTTCCAAAAGCGACTCCTTAACCAATTATTATTCCACTTATCGTTTTCTTTTTTGCCAGACTAATATTATTTAATTTATGTCCCATAAAACTATATTTTATTTTCAAGAATATATACTACGTGTATGTTACACACACATTGTCAAGGTTGAAATGATACAACTTTTTTTTTTTTCTAATGAATATTTTTTTTTTTAACATTTGATTTTTGAGGTGTGTGCGTGTGTGGATATATACACGCATACACTAAACCCTATTACATTCCATACGAAATTACAGAAACTATATTACAAAAAAAAAAGCATTTTAACCGTAGGAAAAAAAAAAGAATCTTGTAGATAAAACAAGTTGTAAAGAAAATGCTAGTTTTGCATAGACGAGATGAGATGCATGCAAATATTAAGAGAGAGAGAGAGAGAGAGAGAGAGAGAGAGAGAGAGAGAGAGAGAGCCGGCCACAGCAGATATTTAGGGATTCTATTATAATTATTGAAAATATAAAATAACAAAATTAAACAATATATATATATATATATATATATAATATAATATTAAATGAGTAGGGAGGCGCATTATATGTCTGATCAGATGTAAAAATGGCTTTTCTTGGGCCTAGCATATTCTAAGCACATGCACTTGTTGTTTCTCCCGATAAACAATACACACAGAAGAGAAAAACGCCATAACACTCTTCATACATACATACATACATACAGACGTACATACGTACATACATACATACGTAGTTACGTACGTACACCTCCATATATATAGGTCCATCTTTAGCGATTTTGTGGGATATTCATCATCATTATTTCAAGGAATATTCGCCACACTGATCAACATATGAATGATGATGATGAATTCAACAAAACAAAAAAAAAAACATATGAATGATGATGATGGCGATGATACATTACGTACGCATATGCATGGAGCTTCTGCCTTCAGATCTTTTAATAAAAAAAATAATTTTTTTTAATAGTGCTGTCGATCTTAGCCTGAACGATTAAGGGACGTTATCTTGCAGATCAATCATGTGTCAGAGAGAGAGAGAGAGAGAGAGAGAGAGAGAGAGAGGAATCAAAATCATTAAAGGCATTTTGACTTTGGATTTGTTTTCTCCATATGCTTCACTTATAAATACTCAAAATCTCAGAAATTCATGCAAAGTTGGAACAGTAAATAACAATGGCTCTAGAGCTCAACTCCCTCCTCTCATGGCTCTTCTTCTGCATTGCTGCAACTATCTCCAGTTCTCTTTTCTTCTTCCGCAAGAAAACCCATCACCACGCATCCTCAAAGAAGCCGAAAACCCTCCCTCCTGGCCAGATGGGTCTCCCCTGGATCGGCGAAACCATGGAGTTCTACAAAGCACAGAAGAGCAACAAGCTGTTCGAGGATTTCGTCCAACCCCGGATTAGAAAACACGGCGACATCTTCAAGACAAGGATCATGGGTTCACCAACCATTGTAGTGAACGGAGCCGAAGCCAATAGGCTTATACTCTCCAACGAGTTCAAGCTAGTGGTCAGCTCCTGGCCGTCCTCTTCGGTCCAGCTCATGGGCAAGGACTGCATCATGGCTAAACAAGGCGAGAAGCACCGGTTCCTTCGTGGGGTCATAGCCACTAGCCTTAGCTATCACGGGCTGGAGCCATTAGTGCCTAGACTGTGCAAGACAGTTCGGTTGCACCTTGAAACTCAGTGGCAGGCCAAGGAAGAGATCAGCCTCTACCGTTCAGCAAAAGTCTTGACCTTTACTGTAGTCTTCGAATGTTTGTTCGGGATTAAGGTAGAGCTGGGGATGCTGGAGACATTTGAGAGGGTTTTGGAAGGAGTTTTCGCTGTGCCGGTACAGTTGCCATGTTCTAGTTTTGCAAGGGCAAAGAGGGCGAGGCAAGAGATAGAGAGAATACTCAAGAGGAAGGTGAGAGAGAAGAGAATGGAAATGGAGGAGAAAGTGTTGTCTGGAGATCAAGTTAAGGAAGGGATGCTTTTCTCGAGCCTAGTAGAAGGTTTGATCAAAGGAGAGATAAGCGAAGAAGAGGTAGTAGACAATATGGTATTGATAGTGTTTGCAGCTCACGACACAACCTCTTTCGCCACTGCAATGATTTTCAGGATGTTGGCTCATCACCCGAGTTGCCATGACTTCCTCCTTCAAGGTAAACACAGTAAAAACAACTACACTATATCAATACTTCTTTCCTATCTCTTTTCCTTGAATCCCACTCAGTTGTCAGAAAATCTATGATTCATGACAGAACATGTTCGAATAAAAGACAACAAAAGAGAGGGAGAACATCTTACAATGGAAGATGTGAAGAAGATGAAGTATAGCTGGCAAGTTGCGCGTGAAACCATGCGCTTATTCCCTCCGATCTTCGGTTCCTTCAGAAAAGCAGTTGCTGACATCGACTATGGAGGATTCACCATCCCCAGAGGATGGAAGGTGAGAGCCCATCTTTCTCAGTGACCTGTACCTTCAATGTCGAGAATACTAAACGCAGTTGCAGCACAAAAAAAAAAGAAACAAAAAAACCATATGGGCATCACCATTAGACTAAACACATGGTTTTTTTGCAAATGCAGGTTCTTTGGACAACATATGGAACTCATTATAATCCTGAAAATTTTCAAGACCCGATGAGCTTTGATCCGACCAGGTTCGATGAGACCGTACAGCCATACACGTTTCTTCCATTTGGAGGAGGGCCAAGGCTCTGTGCAGGCCACCAACTAGCCAAAATGAACATTCTCATCATTTTGCATTATGTTGTGACCCGTTACGATTGGTCTTTGGTATACCCGGATGAGCAAATTAGCATGGATCCCCTCCCATTTCCATCCCTTGGGATGCCAATCAGAATTTCTCCTAAACAGTCGTAGAACAGTTTATGTATGCAATATTCCGACTGGAATAACATGTAACAAATTTCCATTGGATAGAAAAGGATTCAATTAACATTCCTGTTACCATACTACTGAAAGCCACAAGAAAGTTTGCTTGGCAAACTGAGAACCGC